GTCGTTGTCACCCTCGAAATCTGACGAGTAAGATACGTAGTTGACCGTATGAGAATACATACATAGGAATTCACGTTCGTATATGTCTACCTCTAACACTGTATTTTTATACCTAAAATACCTCCTCCTTGTACATGTTTGTGTGCTTGTGTGCGTCTCTGTCTCAGTGTCGCTGTGCGTCAATCTCTGTCTCTGTCTCTCTCTCTCTCCCTCTCCCCTCATCATATCATCTCCTTCTCTCTCTCTTCTGTACTTCCTTCCAATTACACTGCACCCACACTGCAGACACACCACAAAATCCTTTACTTTCTCTAAATGGCTGAATCTCACTCCAGAAGATGAAGATACCCAGCAAGCCCCGCCACCCCTCGCCAACATTCCCACCGCCGGACTCGGATCTTCACCTCCACAGACCCACAACCACCCGCAAGAAGACCCGGGCACCCGGTTCGGCCCGGTTGAAGCGGGCCGGACTTCCGACAGGAAAGCGGAGCCGACCCGAGACGCCTTTACTCAAGTGGAAGATCGGCCAAGGCCCAGACGAGCGCCAGGGGCACGGGGAGAGGCGAAACGACCAAAATGCCCCTGAAGAGGATAGAGTGGACGAAGGGAGGAGGAAGGGCAGGAAGGGAAAAGAGGCCCCCTTGTCGGCCAGGAAGCTCGCCGCCGGACTGTGGCGGCTGCAATCGCCGGAGACGGGTTCCGGTGTACCGGGACGGAATGGCCAGCTAGGGTTTCAGGTGAGCTTGGTTTCAAGGATCTGTAATTTTTTGGTCAAATGGGTGTGCTTTGCAGACTTGGTTGAATCTCATTTGATTGGAGTTTGACCATATTTTTGTCAACCAAAGTTGTTTAATTTTCTCGTTAATTCATTGGATGTTGTTAAATTTGCTGTTTTTTAGTTTGATAAATAGTACTGTTGGTGCTGATATCTATGTTAATGCTGTTGTCTTCGCATTTCCTTTCGATTTTCCCTATTCGGGTTCAAGAAACCCGGCATTGTGTATTTCATGGTTTACTGAGCTGTGATTCAACTCTGATTGATCTTACTGAGGAAATGTGTTCGAAAATTAGCAAGAAATGGTCCTCGTTTTTCTTTTCGGAATGTGTTCTTATGGGTTTCGAGGTGAAATCTTTACTAATGTGGTAATGCTTGTATGTTTCCATCAATTTCCTGCTGAGTATCTCTTTATTTGGTAATTAATTGATTGTTAAGATCTTTTCAGACCTTTTTCTTAATTTTGATTAGTGTTGTTAAGTTTATGTGAATGTATTAAAACTTGGAACTGTGATCTTTAAGATACGGTGGTAAAGACATTTATGCAATGGTTTGATGCATTCTGAAAGTTCCGGGTCGTCACACATTCTTTTGCTGTGTCTTGGGATTTCTGGGTTCTTGCGTGCTGTTTTAGTACATCTTGTCATAGCATGCTTTACCCTCATCAGCCGGTATTAATGTTGTGGTATACTCTGGATTTTGATTTTCATTGTTGATGTCTTCTTTGCAGCCTGACATTGGCCATATTGGGGTACCATTTCTCCGTAATCGCAACAGTAAAACATATGCTTCTGAAGCAAATGATCTTTTACAAAGCCCTAGGTCCACCTCAAGAAATGGATTCTTATCCAAGGTATGGCTCTTCCGTAAATTCTTACAATGATCTGTAAATTCTGAATTTATGAACTTAAGTACAATGCGATATAGTTAATTTTTTTTAAAGCAAGTACAATACAACACCCTTATCATCTTGTGCACATGGGACACATGCTGAGCACTCCATTTAAGGCAAGTTATTTGGCATGAACCTTGGCAGATGATTTACTTTGCAAGGATTGGCGTCATGCATACTCATTAAGAACCGTCTTTTTGGAATGAAAAAAGATGTTTCTTCTAGTACTCGTAGTCATCTGTTTTGCTGTCCCCAGAAATTGAATATTATGTTATTAGGTTGAAGCAGTGTTACTCATAGGATTGCTTACGGGCTAAATATGAGAAATTTTATTTGAATCTATATAATCTCAGTCTACGCCCAACTTACTCTCTACACCCATGTGGAGTGAAATTATATGGGTTCAGATAAAATTTCCTTTTAAATTTTTAACTGGAAAGGGACTTTAAGAAAAGACGGAGTACTTGGAGTTAACAGAAGACTTGGCACAAAACCTAGCACAGTGGTGTTCTAGATTCACGCAGCCGACTATGCTTAGTGGGATAAGGATTTGTTGTTGTAAATATTTAACTGGACATATACACAACTATGAAATAGACAGTAGTGATCATATAAGGATGGAAAAAAAGTAGAAAAGAGAAATTTGGTGTAAATGGGACTTAAACCGAATTCTTTTAATCTAATCAAAAGATTCAGCTGTTTAAAAGCAGCATTTCCAAATTCCAATCCTAGAAAACTCTAGGGAAAATATGGAAATTTGTGAGAGGGAGAATCACGAGGAGGTAATTTCAGATTATGCGCAACTAAGGCTTGGTGGGTTTCCAAATAAAGAAAAGGCTACAACATGAAAATTTCTTATTATATGCATATGTATGTGTATGGATTGTTGGTTCAAAATTCAAATATGGAATGCTGAAATGCGTTCGGGTGTATCTCAGCTGGCTAAGAAACATGTCACTCATATATATTCTCTTAAAATTATATAACAAGCTGTCTCGTCCTTATAATTGTTTTTCTTTAAATTTTGTACTCTACATCTGTTTCCCCCAAAACTGTTTAAGGTCTGTTTTTTCTTCTGTGGTGTTACTTCTAATTTTAGCTTCAACCTTCATTTCAGTTATCCAACTCTGTCATGGAGGGGCAAACAAAATGGGATCCAGTCTGCTTGAAAACATCAGATGAGGTACGGCAAATTTACAGCCAAATGAAGCTTCTTGACCAGCGAGCGAGTGCTGTATCAGTTGTATCTGTACTTGAAGCTGAGCTAGAGCAGGCTCGAGCTCGCATTCAGGAGCTTGAGATGGAACGGCGTTCCTCAAAAAAGAAACTTGAGCACTTCTTAAGGAATGTCAGTGAGGAAAGAGTTTCATGGAGGAGCAGAGAGCATGAGAAAGTCCGTGCATTTATTGATGACATCAAGTCTGAATTGAACCGGGAACGGAAGAGTCGTCAGAGAACTGAGATACTCAATTCCAAATTGGTTAATGAGCTTGCTGATGTCAAGTTATCAGCAAAGCGATACATGCAGGACTACGAGAAAGAAAGAAAGGCCAGAGAATTAATTGAGGAAGTATGTGATGAGCTTGCTAAGGAAATTGGAGAAGACAAGGCTGAAGTTGAAGCATTGAAGAGAGAATCCATGAAACTCAGAGAGGAAGTGGACGAGGAAAGGAAGATGTTGCAGATTGCGGAAGTCTGGCGGGAGGAACGTGTCCAAATGAAGCTTGTTGATGCAAAGGTGGCAGTTGAGGAGAAGTATTCTCTGATGAACAAGCTTGTGGCAGATCTGGAGAATTTTCTGACATCAAGAAGTGTAACGCCAGATGTGAAGGAAATGAGAGAAGTAGAGTATCTGCGACAGGCTGCTGCTGCTGTAAATATTCAAGAAGTCAAGGACTTTTCTTATGAACCCCCTAATCCTGATGATATCTTTTCTGTGTTCGAAGAAGTTAATTTCGGTGAGCCTAATGAGAGGGAGATTGAGCAGTGTGTTGCTTACAGTCCTGCTAGCCATGGTTCGAAAATTCATACTGTGAGTCCTGAAGGCAATGGAATCAATGGCGACCGGATCCTGAGACATCCAGTTGCATTTGTTGGTCATAATGGTGATATAGAAGAAGATGAGAGTGGTTGGGAAACTGTGAGCCATTTCGAGGATCAGGGCTCAAGCTATTCGCCAGACGGGAGTGCCCCATCTGTCAATAAGAATCGCCGAGAGAGTAATGTCTCAGAGTGTGGAACAGAATGGGAAGAAGAAGGTGAGGAAACACCAATTACTGAAATCAGCGAGGTTTGCTCGGTGCCAACAAAGCAGGCGAAGAAGGTATCGTCAATAGCAAGGCTTTGGAGATCCGGCCAAAATAATGGGGAAAACTACAAGATAATCGCGCTAGAGGGAATAAATGGTAGGCTTTCGAATGGAAGGATATCTACTGGGGGTATGGTATCCCCTGATCGGGGTTCGGGTAAAGGCGGGCTTAGCCCCTCTGATTTAGTGGGGCAGTGGAGTTCTCCTGAGACGGGGCATCACATTCGAGGTATGAAGGGGTGCATCCCGCTTGGTGCACAGAAGCATAGTTTGAAGGCGAAGCTTTTGGAGGCAAGGTTGGACAGTCATAAGGTCCAATTGCGTCATGTTCTTAAACAGAAGATCTAGAAGTAGTGAGGCAGAGGTTGCTCATAAAACGAAAATGACAAACCCAGGCTAGAATAACTAGTTACATTTCTCACCGCGCAAGGTACAACTTTTTGCTACGGTCGCGAGGAGTCTCTGAATAAAGTGTAGATGATCTTGGACTCCCACATCTGGTTTTGGGGGTCTTTGCAAGCGATTCAGAAAGCGCGAATCATTATTTGTATCATTTCGAATCTAGAAGACAGCATTTGTTGAAAATGGTAGGCGAAAAACGATAACATTTCCCTCTGTAATATGATGTATTTGGTTATGAGAAATGTTTCATTTTAGTTTCTTATAGGAAATGGAAGATCTCTGGTCCAAAACGTGCCTGCTTAATCAGAACTGGAAAAGAAAAAAAGCAGATGTTTGAAAGAAAAGTTGGCAATGAGAATATGGATTTTCAGTATAAAATGTTGACGTGATTTTACCGTAACTGTTCAAGTAAGAGAGGAGGGAAGGGGAGGGAAGGGGAGGGAAGGGGAGAAAAATTAGGACGGGAGAGAAGGGATATGGAAAGTCCCCCGAAACCATACAAATAGGGGATCAACCACAACTCTAGTTTTTAGTCTGGTGTCAAATACGAGCCCCAGTAAATAGAATCAGACACACATACAGCTAAAGCATCATAAATTGAATCAACATAACCCTTTCTGAATACTTCTTCTCCTGTCAAACAGCACCACATACAAAAATGGGCATAAACAGTCAGAACTGGCAAGCTGACAAGATTAATATGCACGAAAACTCACTACTAATGCTAACCTGACTATACAAATCGCAACGTGTAGTCTGGAAAACGAATCTAATAGTGTCCCATTGATTTATTGGGACAGAGACTTCCAAGTTAATCTTCTAGACAATGGCCGAATAAACTATCTTTTAAACAGTCAAGGCAGAAACACTTTGTCAACTAATAAATCCAATAATGCTCAATACCCTAGAAGAAGATATATATCTGTCTTGCGTAATTAATGATTGGCTACTTATAGCTCGTTTAAGAATTGCTTTTAAATGACTGAAAGCACTTTTAGAAAAAACGTTTTTGGGACCACCTTAGTAAAAATGCAAGTTAATCCTGAAAATAAAAAACATTTAAAAGTACTTTTGGAACCCAAAAACATTTCCTCTAAAAGCACTTCCCATATGAACTCTTAGTTGGCTATCAGAAATAAATAACCCAAACTATTACAAGAAAAGCTTTTCATGTGCATTTGTTTGGTAACCAAGATTCAGATGCATAAGAACAGGAAGTTTTCTAAACAAACCTCCCCACTTCTCTGAGTCAAGAATCCAGGCACAATACTCTTCATTTGATTTACCAAGAAACGCTTCTGAATACATAGTGGGATCGCTTGCTACCGTTGCAGCTATAACCTTCACATTGCAGATAGTCATAAAATGTAAGTACAAGAATTGATTAGGAAGTACCGCACTTATGCATGCTCAATGCAAATGTGGAGGTATTTATGCACATACAACCATGATTTATCTATTGTTGTATGATTTAATTTTAAGCCTTGAATATTCAAATACCTGTCTCAATTCAGGAGCTTTTTTCTGGGCATGATCCATTACATACCTGCAAACGAAGGGCGAAAATTGAAAAGAAAATTTGACCTAAATGACACAGTTCACTTCATTGCGACAACGGATAAAATAGAGGGTTGTATTGGGGCTTACCCGACTGCATTGAAGAGGCAACTATTGTCTGAGGGAATAACCCTCCTTACTACCATACCTTCCGTATTGTAAATTATTTATATATCTGAAGCATTATAACAATTTGAAATTTTAAACAATGACGGTTTTATCTATCCAAGTACACATATTTTAAATTGAAAAACATTTCTACGAAGATTAAGAACAACCCTTTTGAGATTAGGATTCCATTCAAACTAAACATCGACAGAGACATGAACGAAATTTTTATGTTAAGACTGAATCCTAAACTTAAATACGAGACAATACGGAAAGAAGGGGAGGAATTGAACAAAACCCAGCTTCACATACTCAGTTGATGATGACCAACCAGAATCAATTACTGGTAGCAGTCCATGATTGAACACATAAAAAAAAGGTCGTATCCAGTGCACAAGGCTCCCGCTTTACGCAGGGTCTGGGAGAGGTGAATGTCGGCTAGCCTTACCCCCATTTATGGAGAGGCTGCTCCCATGATTGAACACATAAATGTAAAAAAAAAAGGGAACAAATATTGTGGATGCAAATTTCTTCCTCCTTGATCTTGGACAATTTTGCACCTACAAAACAATTAACACCTTAGGTTAAGGCCAAGAGCCTCATGCGCCCACGATGAATGGGGGGGCTTTGGCCGAAGAACCTCCGATGCCAAAGTTAGAAATTAGAGAGAAAGAGTGTTTAGAGAATTTTGGGATTTTTGCCAAAGTGTTTGACCTAGTGTTTGGTGAAAATGAGTGCCTATTTATAGGACTAGGTTGGTCCACTTTTTAGAGAAAGTGGCCGGTCAACTTGTGCATTTCTTGTTGAATTTGTGGTTTAATTAGCCAATTTATTGGCTAATTAAATATGAAAGAAATAAATGGGGGTTATCAAATTGAATGACTAACTTTATTTGGGTAATAGGATGGAGTAAATAAGAAAGGTTAGGAGCAAGGATGGTGGCCGGTTTTGACTAGCTTTTGGGATTAATTTGGGTGACTTATTTGATATAATGGGTGATTAAATTGGTGATTAATGGATTAATTAGGAATTAATCCATTAATTAGCCAATTAATCTCTATTTATATGAAATAATTTGTAGGTTATGGAGTAATTACCTAAGATGAGGATGGATGAGATAACTATGAATTTGTTACCTTCATTTGGGCACTTTTGATTTGGTTTAGGGATGATTGCCCGCTGGTAGGAATCCCAGTATGCCTCAAGGGTATTTTTGTCTTCTTATACCCAAGAATCCACGTGTCGCCTTGTGATTATTTTTGGCCCCACAAATGCCCCCACACCTGTTGGGCTGCTCGTAGGAAAGGGCAGCAGGTGTAGAGATCTTCTTGCTCTAGGAAACTTAGAATTGCTTCCTATTTTGATGTAGATTCCCTCTTTAATTGGAAATTAGGTCATTCTAGGAAAGGGAAATAAACTTCTCTCAAAGCCTATTTAAGTCCACCTTAAGTGGGTTATTAAATCAACTTTGGAGAGCAATTTATTTTACTCCACAAGAGAGAGAAAGTTAGAGGATATTTGTTCCCCCTCCTCTAGCAATCTTCTACATCTTGCTCGTGCAAAGGACCGTCTTTCGTTGATTTCTTCATCTTCTCCGTGCCGCACCGATGTAAGAAAAAATTAATTTTTCTTGCCTTCTTCTTGGATAGTGCTATTGGGCAGCCGTCAGGGTGGTGCAGCACGTCTGCTGGCAGGGGCCAGGAGTTGGCTCGGCATAGGCCGAGAGATGTCGTGGCAGGGACCACTGCTTGGGCAGCTTGGCTTGGCTTGAGCCAAGGGCAGCTTGTGCGGCTAGGGTCGCGGATTGTGGCGCTGGGGCGCAGTGCTAGGCGAGCCGCATGGCTCATGTCCTTTGGGCTCTTGGACCTGACTCGGGCCATGCTGGCGATTGAGAGAAATGAGGAGATTGTGGGTCTCATGGGCTGCTGGAATGTTAGGTATGCAGGCCTCCTGCTTGCTGGTCCAAGAGGAAAAAATGAGGGATAAGCCAGTATAGGTTGAGCTCCCATGCTGAGTATCGTGAATGGCATTGTTGAAGGTGGAAAGAAGATATCTTCCCCGCCTTAGATTCAAGATCTTAAGCATGTCGTTTCTGAGCTTCGTTCTGCTGTAAAAGATGAAGAGTTGATTATTGCTTATAACCAAGTGATCCACTTCAAGAGAATTGTCGATAGGATTGAACCCCAAGTGTTGGAACTTCAAGGCGTACTGAAGATCAACGAAAGTCTGAAGAAGGAAGTGGATGAGATGCAAAGCATCCATGTTGGTCTGCTCGAGGAGGATGAACAACTGAAAGGTGAAAAGGCTGGGTTCGGGGTTTCAAGACCTTATCTATTTCTCCGGAAGATTTGTTTGATTTTACTTTTGAGGCTTCCATTGGTGAAGTAGTTGAAGAAGTTAGTGCCCAGGCTGGGGTAGCCGGGGTGAAGCGCCGGATGATACCACTGCTAAGAGCGTCGAGGCTGCTGAAGGTGTGGTGACCGAGTAGTCGTGGGATGTCCAAGCTTCTATAGTCTTCTAGGTAGCCTTTAGGATTTTATTTGTTTTTCCTTGTAGCTCTTGTTTTGCTTGAACTCTTTCGGCCTTTGCTAGTTGTTTATAAACATGTTTTCCTTCGCTTTTCTTCATCTTCGCTTCTTTGTTCATGCCCTAACCTTTAGACTTGATAGACCAGTGGCAGGCATGCTACTTTTTATAAGCAGACAAGCCCGCGTAGCCTATGCAGCTGTAGGTGTTGGTGTAGAACTTTGCAAAGTTGTTAGCCATAGGGTTGGCAGCCGGATGCCTTACTTACAGAAACAGACAAGTCCGCGTAACCACTAGGCTGTTAACCTTGGTTTTCTCCAATTCCATAGGTTGCGTAGCAAGTATCACAACACTTTAGGACTTGGTGTAGGTTGTTCCGTGCTTGGCAGAGGTGAAGCTTATCGACTACGTAGCATGTCGGCAGTGGATAAAACTTCGTATATGCGCGCTAGCTTGTTTAACCTTTCACAAGAATGTGCGGTTGTATAAGTCTAGCGCGGCTTTACTGCTCGAAGGGCAAGCCGTAGGCAGTCTTCCAGAATCCGTAGGCTACCTTAGTGCACTCGGTAGCAGCTTTAGGGTTCCAGGGCAGCCGTCTGTAGGGCGTACTGCATAATGTGCCCTCTCCGTGTCTGGGGTCCGGTTCCCCACGGATTAGGCCAAGAGACCCAAAATCCTTCAGTTAGCTAAGCCTTGAAAAAGACCATTGTGGCTACTTCTAGGAATCACGGCGCAAGCCATCGTGCATCTAGTTATACTAGGGCAGCCAGGCTCATCCACGTTTGGATATTCGGAGTGTAAAGTTTATCCTCCCGTCTTGGAGAGCTGGCCCATATGGGTGTCGGGGAATTGGTTTACCCTCTCGCACTGGAGAGCATGGTTGGTCCTTCGGGGGGCGCAATTCCTGCGATGAGTCCCTGAGTAGGGTGCAGTCTTTTTTTGAAGTGCAGGAGTGATCAGTTGTTGTAAGCATGTAGCCAATCCAAGTTGTGATTACTTCTGAATTCCTCATTAAAAAAATGAGTGAAACGAACGAGAACTTAGCTGTAAGGTAGAAACTGCATAACAACTGGATAGTCATTGGCTTGTGAGGTGGTGCCCGTCGAGCTTCTTGAGTCTTCGGGTTTTGTTGTAGCTGGGAGGAGTTGCTGCTGGTAGGCTACTATTCAAGTGATGGTCTGATCACGCTTCTCCTCTGCCAGATCTAAACTTGTGGCCATTTCCTTACCGTTCGGTTGTTCGTCTTTTGGTAGTGCGATATGCCCATAGACATCCGAAGAGTTCGTTTAGCCATTTTCCCTTCTTGTTGGTAAGGGATTTCTTGAGGCAGTCGAGGATCGTCTTGTTGGATACTTCGGCCTGCCCATTGCCTTGAGGATATCTCGGCGTGGACATGTGCTGCTAGATGCCATATTCTTAAGGCACTTTTGTACTAACTCCTTAGCATCTTGGTGCATGGTAAGCCAATAGTAGCCTGCGTTAAAAGCTTTCTATGCTAAAGATTGGCCTCCAGAGTGGTTTCCACATACATCTTCGTGGATTTGATCTTAGAACTTTCAAGTCATCGGGAGGCGCTAGGCAGCGAATATGTGATCCGGTGTGGGATCTTTGGATGAGAATGCTATGACACTTAGGTTGTTGGCTTCATCTCTATGCTTGGCTTGTCAAGATATTCCACCAGAATAAAGCGTTTTGAGTTGGTGATCGAGTGCGGAGCCTAGGCCGGCTAGTACGTCTGCATGGGCGTTGTCTGCCCGGGGAACTTGAGTGAGAGTTTAAGTCTGAAATGCCTCAAGCTGCTTGCGTACTTTCTCTAGGTATTACGTCATCGACATGCAAATGCCAGAAGTCTCCATTGAGGGAGCAGGTGCAGCTAAAGTGTGCTTGGCTACTTCTGAGGCATCGTTGGGCCGCTCTGTTGCGTCACCTAGGCTCAGCGTGAAGGTGTAGTGTGGAGATAGGGCCATGTCATACGCAGCAGGAGATGCTCAACTGTTGGTATTGGGCCACTCTAGAGTTGAATCATTGAGCAAGGGTTGGTTAGGGCCGTGTGGTGCGCAACAAGAAGTGGTACTCAACTGCTGGTACATGTTGCTCCTATGTAGAATGTTTTAGGGTGACAAGGACAAAACTTGCTTCCGAGTATGTCCTTCCAGTGTTGCGTTCGTCAGAAAACCTTACATCCGCTAGGGTCTACGCCTTTATCGTCGCACATCTGGATTGGGCAGAATAGTACGTCATGAGGATGACCGCATGCGTTTGAAAGTAAAACTTGTGCTTCCGGGTTGCAACAACTATCGCCAAAGTTAGCTTTTGAATTTTTAATAGCATTGAGGAGAGCTTTTGAACTGTAGAATACAGGTAAATGTAGAATACAGGTAGTCGGGCCCCCATCTCTTCTCGCATGATGGTAAAGCTTATTGCTACTTTAGATACCGTCAAACATGTGAATAAGTCATCCGCTGCTTCTAGGGAGGTGATGTCGGGTACTTCTTCAAGTCCTTGAATGTGCATTGGCGAGCCTCATCCCAAAGTGCATGCTTCTCTGCCAAAGCAAAAGAGTATGCCAGAGTTAGATTTTCTTTCATGATCAATTTTCCGAATAGCGGGTGGTCTGCCAGAAGTCCTTTTTGGAAGGCTGCTCTAGCTATCGAGTTGTTGCATCTAACTATTTTTGCCTTCTCTACTTTGAACCTCCTCACATAGTCGCGAAGCGACTCCTTTGAGTTCTTCTTGACGTTGAACAAATGGTCAGACTTCTTTTTTATTGAGCGATAGGATGAATATTCTTTGGTGAAAACCAAAGAAAGTTCGTAGAAATTCTGGATGGATTGTGGCAGC